CTCATATTTAGACGTCCTATTTTGCAAATGCTGCCTTCCTGAAATTTGGTATGCTTGTTTGTCTTTGTGTCTATGGTGTATAATGCTGAGATTGTGATGCTGTAATTCTGAGTGTTTATGTGCTGCAGAACAGGAATCTGCTGTAAAACAGCAATTATGCTGAGTCAGGCTTGATTTTTAGTAATCTTTTCCTGTTAAATCAATAAATCAAATCAAATCAATCAAATCAAACGCAGATTTTACAGATGGAAAATTCTCAACTGGAATATGTTGTTGCGTTATGGACAGAAACGCATAGGGGCATTAGAAAATATTGATATGCTAAAATATGGTGACATTTCATTTTCAGATAATGCACTGTATGGATATTCAATTAAGGTTTGAAATACATACTGTATATTTGTTTTTGTGTTGTAATTTAGCCTCCAACCACTAGTTGGCCTCAGCCAGCCATTTGGCTAGAGAGCTTGAGAGTATAATGCTAGCTCAAACATTAGCATTATGAGTAAACATTAGCATTAAGTACTGAAGGCTGAATCTGAGCAGATTAGACCGACACCCGCTGCCTTCCAAGCTGAGGTAGGGTTGCCAACTATCCCATATTAGCCAGGATATCCTGTAAGGAACACTCCTTCTGCAGCCTGACAGCAGAGCCGTCCTGGTACAGAAGGCAGGTAGACATTTCTTTCACGAGCTGAACGGGGTCTCTGAGGGATGATACTGAAGTGGCCAAATGCAACGGCCATATGAAACACTAACTGCTTTGAAATGACTGGTGTACTCGCGCTACCCCTCACAGGAACACAAACTGTAGCAGCCTCCTTTAATCTTGTTTACTGAAACCAAACTCCTGCCAGTAAATATCTCTAAAAACCCATCATATCTGTAAAACACAAAGTTTGTTGTCCTTTTACAAGATAAACATCACTAGGGCTGCGAMTAAYGATTATTTTAATAATCGATTAATCTGTCGATTATTTTTTCGATTAATTGGCCAAATTATTAAAACACTTAATTACATAAATATAAGTAGATATGAATCATTTTAATTCCTATATCAATTAGGGATGCAAGTTATCGATTAATGTGAAGTTGGTTTATCTTATAGACCAACGGTTAATTGATAAGCAGCCATTTTCTTAAAAACCAGAGTTTTCTATTGAATCAAGAGGGTCTTTTCATAAAATGAAGGATTTTTTTTATAATAAGATGCTAAATTAAGAAAAGAAGCACATCATAAATATTTTCACAATTTATTTTACCAGCTGTATTAAACACTGAGTGGACGGAAAAAAAGTGGATTTCTCATACATTAATAAACTTGATTATAGCTATAAAACATAACAAAACAGAAATGTAATAGGTTGCTGAATGAGGGAAAACAGATAAAAAGCATAAAATATGATTTTTAGATGTAAAACTGTTATTAATTTGTTATTATAGTGAGAATTTATTTGCTTTTAGACGTTATGATTTTTCTCTGATTCATGTTTTGCTTCCTTCTTGTTGGTTCTGTCTGTGGCTAAAACGACCCAGTAAGCAGTTCTGAAGCAGAACCCCATCCCTCCCCACTCCCCTACTGAGACAGACCAGGATTTCTGCTCGCATCTTTTTTTTTTCCTTCGTCCCGAACCTTTTTGCTGCTAAACAAATAACTTTGAGCCTCAGTCAGAAAAAAACACGAGGGTTTTATATTTCTGGCCCGAGAGGAGGAAACAAATGATGGACTGAGTTTTTTTTTTTTTTTTTTCCACGGGACATGTTTCCTACTGGCAAAGCGGCTCGCATCAAATCAGACCGTTTTTTAAAAAAAATAAAATGTGGCATATACTTTTTATCATATCTTTGGTTCTGCTTGGCCTAACAACACAATTTAAAAACTGGTTTAAAGTTCGAAGTCTCTACTTTTCACTCAAGGGTCTCAGAGAGGGCGGATCTTTACAGGTGGAGCTTTTTTCTTCCCAAACTTTATTTAGGTCAGCTAGCATTGACAATGCTCTGTGGGTGACGTAAACGGCTCCGCGACAYGGCAAATCGATAATGAAATTCGTTGCCGACGTTTTTGATAATCAATTTTTATTGATTTTATTGATTCATTGCTGCAGCCCTAAACAGCACACAGTTTGTTTAAAATAGTCTGTTTTTGTTTATCTCTGTAGGTCTACAATGTCCCCACGATCTCTCTGAACACATGCACATCAGACGTCCAGCCTGATGAAGCTGAGGAAGAGGTCTACAGTGTCCCCACACTACCAGGCCTGCCTCTGGGCCCAGCAGAGTCCGGCCTCTGCCTGGAKGACATCGCTCAGATTGGACAGGTCTGTTGCGCCCCGGGATCTGAAAAACGGGCCAGYGGCAGCGATCCCAAACGGGACTCCTCCGAGCCCGACTGCGGCATCTACGACATGCCTGCCCTGACCGTGGAAATCCTTCCCCATTCCTCATCGTCGTCCTCCTCCTCCACCTCCACCCGCCGCCACTCTGTTTCCAGCAACGGCTCGGGCGATGTGCAGTGGAAAGCTTCCCTCTCCAACCTGGTCCACTCTGTGTTGAGCGCCGCCTCCTGCTCGGCTCCTGCTCTGTTGTCGCGGGACCTGGCCACCTCCCTGGCTGAGATCCTATCCACCTGGAAAGCCAGTCACACGGGCGATCCTCCGCCGCCTCTCCAGCAGGCCTGGGCCCGTCTTTCCGACCTGCTCCCGGCGCTGTCCGCCGTCGGTAACGCCCCCCCGTCAGARGGCCTTTTAACACTCGTACAGCGCACGCTGGAGGAGAGCAGCCTCCTCCTGCAGGCTCAAGGACGACCTCGTCTTCCTTCCCAGGAATCCTTGTCGCGCAGACCTCTACCAGCGCTCCCAGTGCCCGACGGGAAATCATCTTGCAGTGGGATGGGTTCCCGTAAAGGCAGCTGGATCCAAGAGAGGCCTCTTCCGCCAACCCCCCAGCCTGCTTTTCCTCTGCCCCCTACCCCAAACAGCGTGACGCTCACTGTGGGGCCCATTAACGGGGACGACGACCCCAATGAGTACAGCAATGAGTATGCAGGGATTGGCTTGACCCCCATCCCAGCCCCGGCTCCTACAGGAGACAGTGTTGGATATGTGAAGCTGCAGGTCAGTTTGCTGGCAACTGTATCACCACATGTGCAAAACCGCTTCTCTTAATGTGAACTGTTGTGTTTATCAGGGTAAACCTGATCTTCTTCCTGACCTCCTGACTGAGAACGGACAAACTATCACTGCAGAACCACGGGTGAGTCCTCCACTCTATAATCTCTAGAGGTGCACCCACTGCAGTTTTCTGGCTRATCTTTAAAAAGTCTGACCTGCCAATTCTGATTTTGGCTGATACCCTTTTTTTTAATAACTTATAAACTGTCACCTTCAATGTTGCAATCGTATTTTATTGAAAAACATTGAACAATACCCTTGAAATAATACAAACTTGTTTTAACTGGACATTAGGTAGTGCTCACAGCAGAGCAAAGAGAGGAAAGTGGCTCACTTCCAGACCTTTGTGGAGGTAGAGAAGAAGCCGATCATTTCCGCTGTTCTTATCTAAATATYGGCTGATCTCCCAAAATTAAGGAAATCGTTGCCTCCAAATTGGCCGGCCGATTTATCGGTGCACCCCTAGTATTTAGGKGTGTAAATCACCAGCTTTATCACGATASGATATTACATCGATATGTTTGGATGACGACTCGATATTTCTCGATATCACAATGTCTGTCACGWTATGATTTCGATATAATTCARTTCACATGTCTGCGATGGATATAATGCGATATCATATGCCCATCAAACACAATGACTGTGTTAGCTGGGTATATGATATCGATTMMCATCAAGCATATGATGACGATATAGATCAATATTTTCATTTTRCTTCGATATAACTGAATCAKGAACCATTCAAATCKATATAGATCGATGCATTGTTACACCCCTACTAGTAATCTCACCTCCACATAAATAATCTCTTCTGTTCTTTCTGCCACTCTTCAGGCTGTAATAAAAGATGTGTGTAGCACTGAAACCCAAACAGCAGCTCCACACAGATTCAGTCACTGATTCACTCTGAGCTGACTGTGCGCTCTGTTTACTACTGAGCACTGTGACTCATTAATCCAGCTTGCGGTTTGTTTGCTTCCCAACGTGCTCTTTGGCTTTTTTAATGTTTATCCAGCATCAAGCAACTTTACGTTTCATTCAGCTCTCTTGTCGATGCAGTAAAATGTCTCATCCAGTGTTACTTGGAGAGTAAGGGGACATTAAAACTGTTTTGGGTTGTTTGAGCGTTTGTGTCTCAAGTTGGTCACGTCTTTTCTGTCGCTCAGTCCACATTTTTCCTGCTCCTTGCAGGGTTCCCTTGTTACGCCTCAGATGCAAAACAAGAGGTCACTTGTAATTCTCAACAATCTGGCCTCACATGGGAAGGACCCCGCTGGACAATAAGTGACAGACAGCACAGTCATTTCTTCAGCAGTGTCTCTTGTTTTGATCTACTGTGCAGAGTTGTGTGTTTGAGTCCGACTCTTTCAGACATTTAGTAACAATTAAATGACAAATATTAATACATTCAAACAGGTTTATGGGTTATTTTTATCGTTGTTTGTAAACTTATCCATCTTTTCCCACTGGTTATTTTTAGACATTTTCCAAAAACATTTCCCTCCCATGTTGCAAAATGTATTTTTTTTTTAAATTCTCATTTATCTCATAATTTCATCTCATCGCTTTTGGCTGTTTAGAGAAGCCACAGTTGATACAGAACATCAAAACATTATTGAACTGTTTAGCATTTGCACTAACTTTATAAATTCAGGGTTCCCACRGGTCCTTGAAATCCTTGAAAGGTTTTGAATTTATTTTCTTTGCCRCTAAGAATCTTAGAATACACATTGCCACCCAAACTATAGACTTTTACATGTAATAGCTTAGCTGTACTGTGCTATAAGCAGAAGGCAGTGTGAAGCAGTCACACAGTGACATCATCAAGAGGATAGTTACTTCCACACTCAGCCTCGTCTTGTATACGGAACAGATCTTCTGCCTCATGGTTTCAGATTACAGGCAATAACTGAACAAGAATTTGTCAAGCAAAACCAAAGTCCACATCTAAAACTATTGTAAAAAGTCACAAAAATTTTTTAATTAGTTTTCCCTGCATCCTTTGCAGCTAGGATGTCATTCAGCTACAGAGCATTTCCTTAGTGCGTTGCAAAGTTTGATGAAGAYGCGCATCTTTGCTTTAATGGGGCRTACAAGTATCAYTTTTTAGAGTTATTAATGTTTAAATATAACAACTAAATTAGCAGAAACACGATTTCAAAGATTGTAATATGTCAAGCAGTGTCGGGCAGTGCTGCGGCGCCTCAAGCGCGATTAGAGCAGCGCTATTTGAACGATCTGAGCGTTCAATGTGCTTGATGCGCAAATCGCTGAAGTTAGAAAATCTGAACTTTTGCAGCTCGATGCGCCGCGTCAACCAATCAGAAAGACTCCACTGTGTGACGTAGCGACATATTTCCCGACGGGACAGTTTACTGAATGATGTCCACTAACCTGAAACAGATGGAGAGGAGCTCTTTAGCTGAAATCGAGTGCCTGCAGTCGGTGTCCTGACAGGAGATATCCTCACCAATGAGTGGCAGCGGCTCATCAGACTGGACTCGGGACAAAAATAGTCCTGAAAGCAGCTGTGAGCCTCTCCCGCAGCTCCTGGGTGATGAAACTCA